CACGTTGTACAGTTGCTCAGTAAGTGCTGAATCAGAATCCAGACGGTGTGGAAGGGGCCTCAGCATATCCCTGAAGTTACTATCTTCACATACACGTTAATCCAGCTGGGGCAGAATTCAGCGGCTTTGAATGCCAGACTTTTAACAGAAATAGCTTTGTTTTAGTTTGCAGGTTCTGACTTTTAAGCAGGTTTAGAAATTCACATGATCAGCTAAGATCTTATTCTAGGAGGCAAAGAAAGAAGAAAAAAAAAAACTGCCATGAGTACTTTTTAGAAAGAAAAATATATGTAAACACCAGAAGCCACAGTTAGAGGCATCCTTCTCTTCTCTGACTCTTGTCTTGCTGGAAAATGCTACACAGTGTACTTTAATACAAGATATGTTCAGTTGCCTTGCTGAGAGCGTTTTCCTTTGTGTGGCTAATACGGTGTAGCCTGAAAGGAGAACGTGGGAGGTAGTAGGTCAGCCTACTGTTTTCTGAAAGCTGCTTCTCCGTAACACTGACCACCAACTGTTGTTTCTATAAGATAAACGGGTAACAGGGGCTGCCTCGGACAGTTCAGAATTTGGTTCTGTGTTCCTTGTGGATGACGTTGGGCACCTCCCCCACCCCCTTCCTTGCCCCTCTCTCGTAGTTTATGAACATCTACCTAGCAGGTTGTAGAGCTCAAGTGCGAATGTAGATCTGTCAGAGCCGGGTCTTGCCACACCTTGTGCTCTTTTTCCCCACGTCAGTCCCCTGCCCGAATAGAAGACACAGTCATCATTGTAGAATATTCCCTTTTCAAGGAAATTTGATAAAAGGACGTAACTCTTAATACCAAGAATATTTAGAGTCAAACAGAATAACCTGATATTTACTGTCCACCGTCCCAGTTCTAAAAGAACCTTTTTGTTCCTTGTCAGAGTCCTTTAAATGCTTTGCTCCAATGCTGTAGGGCTTTCTTCATTTTTCCCTTTCTTTCCCTAAACTGTGTTGCCAAGCTTTAGGATGTTAGTCAATAGTAGTAGTATAAATTTCAGTTATAACCTACCTTATTAAGCTGATTCTAATGAGGAATTTTTTTTGCAGATTCCAAATGGTCTAGAGCTAGATTTAACAATGACAGTTATTTAATTTTATTTATTTATTTATTTTTAAATTAGATTTAAAAAAAAATCTCTACATAATATTTCCAAAGCCAGCTTCGGAATATAGAACCAAAATGTAATTCATCTAGTTCGGTACATTGTAGAGGCAAACATCATGACCGTTCTTTATATTTTGAGGGGATGGAAATTTTCTTTCTTTCTTTTTTATGATGTAATATTTGACACATACAGAAGGATATTGGAACATATATCTAACTTACGAAGCATCATAATAAAATGAATGCCTATGAATCCACTTAGAGTTCACCATTTGACTTAAGAAGTCGAAAATTTTACAACTGAGGCTTCCTCTGTGCTTTACCCTGATTACACTCCCCCTTCTCCCTCCCAGAAATAAGCACTCTCCAGAATTTTATTTATTCTTCCCTGACTTTTATTAGCCTTATCTTTTTGCCTGTGGCAGAAAGGTTTTTTTTTCTTTTCTTTTTTTTGGTTACCATTTCACTTTAACCTAGAGGGAATAACTTATCCTCAGACTGACATTAACATAGTAAATTGCAAGCTATTGTACATAAGTATCTAAGGGTAGTGTGAGTATAGTTGATTGAAATGCACATGTAACCAAAGTCTGTAATAAGACTTGGGCCTGGGCAGTACAGCACTGTGTTTATAAAATCTTTCAAAATCAGCTCTTCCATTTTACTGAACCATGTAGGATCCATATGGTAGATACTCTCTCCATATTGCTTAGCCTTTTCCAGCATTACTGCTGTGTTTTACTCCCCATACATTTATCAGATGGAAGGAGAGAAAAAAAAATCATTTATGCATAGAGCAATTGT